TTTGCTATTGCATATAAAAAATTCCAAATTGCTCTAATGGAGACAAAATAGGAGTTTTTTGAAAACCTATTTTGGTGGCATGTATAATAGAGACCAAGGGCAGGTCACAGCCCTTCTGAGCTATTTGGATTAGAAGTTTGAGATGACAGGTGTATGGAGATAGTCTGTATAGTGAATGCTGGAGTTTGAGTGAACTCTATAAGGGTGATAATAGGTAATAATAGTAGCTTTGGCTTGCAAGTACTTGTTCTCAAACTCGGTATAAATTATTAAAAGTCTAGGTTGCTAGATTTGTGAGTATAGAAGGCTCTAGCAGGTTTACCTCAAGGATAAGAGTTCAATAGAAGTCTGCTTTAAAGTTCTAAATTGGGTATCTGAAAATAAGAGAGTACTTCATATTCTTGCTTGATTAGATGATTAATATATATAGTAATATATGTATAGTTTGGTATACCAAACTGTAAAAATTAACAATAATTAAATAAAAAGAGACACCAAGAGATCACCTTAATACCAAAAAAAAATAATAATAATAATAATCAGATCTAATAAAGTGTTAACAGCTTTCTTAGCTAAGTTTAAAAAAAAATAATAATTAATTAATTTTTAAAAAATTAATATGAAGGCTGACAAAGCTGCACTTAAAAATCTAACAAATTAAATGAAAATAAATAAACAAATTCTTGATGACCTTGTAAATTGTAACTGTATAGTACAAAAATTTATTATTTTTTTTTTAATAATGAAATTTGTTTATTTATAATTGAAATAATATTTTCTGTTTGGGTACAAATATAGGCTCAATCATCTGATTTACAGGTTACTCAAGCCATGTGTCAATCTATAACATCTATGTTTTGGCTAATTATAAATGCATCTATACAAATACCAGCTTCTATTGCTCCTAATGTTGATGTCTCACAAAAAATGATCAAGAAAAATACTTCATTAGTTTAAATATGGAGAAAACATAATAATAAAATTAATAATCTTATGGCTAAGAACTGTAAACTTTCAAAGATATGAGCAACAAGTTGCATATATGACGGAATGATATAAAGTTTTCCTGGAATTACTAAAGAACATTTATACAAGAAACATCTAAAGCAAGAAAATATACAAATTATTTAGCAATAGAAATATCGGTGTAGAGAAGATCCGTAAAGTAAAAACATTTAGTGCAGGATTGCTATCATGATTCACTAAAGGCTAAATTCAGTGGATTATAGATAATTTCTCATCAAGTGTAACTTCATAACAAATTAATTGTTAATTGTTATAATTTACAAATAATTTAATAAAGAAAATTTGTTGCTTTTCGAAAAATTAAAAGGTGTTTTCAACTTTAAATTGCATATATTGAGCGTGCAGCATATGTATATTACATTTTATTGTTACGAAGCGCGTCTTTTGAAAAACCTAGCATGGTATTACTTTGAAAGGTGACCAGTTATTTACAGTGTACTATTTATCGGATAGGACTTTTATAATTTTGAGATTTATTTTATTAGTTAAACTATATAACCTAATTAAGTATACAAAGAAAAGAACAAGTTTAAATAATTTTGGAGTTTTTTATTATTAGATAATGTAGTTTCTATTAAGCAGTATTATAATATTAGTTAAAATACAGTATACAATACATTGTATTAACAATAAAAATATCAATTTATTTCTTTATACTAAAACCTATTACAAACCAAAAAACCAGGTTCTACGGCTCTGAATTCAAGAAATTTACCGACTTTACATTAGAACATGTTCTAATGATTCTTATGAATGCTAAGTCCAAATAATTGTGGATTTAGATGATTTGGATCGGAGCGCCTATGACAAATTCTCCGACCCTGCAATGGATCGACCAATGAAATCGAGTTGAACACAACTGCGTTACTGCGTTTTGGCGGAGTTGTTTCATATATAAGCACAACCTAGAGACGTTGGTTTCGGCGGTAATGTCAATCTTCGCCTAGCAGTTTACTGGTATCAACTGTGAATATATATATTGCAATTCTCAAATTCTGGTCACTAATAAGAAAGTAAACAAATGAAAGGAATTTCATAATAACTAATTGTATAAATAAATTTTAATAGAATTTGAGAATTCCACCCACAATGCTGCGTGGATTAAAAAGGTCATTTATGTCCGATGGACAAGGCGAGAATACAGAATATTTTGGAGGATACGGAAGTGAAGAATTCATTATCAGGAAAAACAATGAAGAAATGGCTATATTATCAATGGGAATGAATTCGAAGAAAATGAGGTTGAATTTGGACCAAGATGCTTCAAGGTTAGTAAACCTTGTTGTATCTTGTTTATGTCGAATATAGGTGACCCGGAGTGAATGTGATGCTCTTAAAAATCGCGAGTAACATTTATTCCTATAGGGTACATTTAATTATACTATTGCTATTGTTAGAATAATGAATATAGATGGAAATTTTATTTCTAATACATTTTACATATTTAAAGAAACTTCACACCTTACAATTAATTTTAAATTTTCCTAGAGATTCCGTGTATCATAACTCAAGTTCAGAATCTTCAGGATCTTCACCAGTAACACCTTCATCTTATTCCTCTTATACTGACACTACCGACAATTTTTTCGCAAAAAATCATCAAAAACAACAGCAGCAAATATCACAACAATATGCAACTCATTCGCCTGCAAATAAACAACGTCAATATCCACTTCGTATTTCAACACGATCTGACACATCATCACTATTATCTGATGTTGAATTACTTAATCCTTATGCAAATATCAATTCAGTGCTATACCTCGCAAATTTGACACGAAATTCACATATTTTGAATGAAATACGGGAAGATATTGGTGGAATGGACATAGATGAACGGGAAAATGAATTTGTGGGTGGGGTGATAGAAAATTCAATAACAAATTTAAATGAGAACCTCGGTGGTAACATGTCAGCAATTCATGCATCACTTAATCATTGTCCCAATAGTATCGAAGGTATAAATAAACATGATAATCATGGTGACCGTGCTAATAAGCAAGATTTTGGAATGGCATCTGGATATCAATCTATTAATGCTGTTTTAAGAGAGGCTTTCTTGAGAAGGCATGGATTAAATTCGCAAAGCTAATTTCATTAGTTAGCAAGTAGTTTAATTTTTGTAAGTTCAAAGTTTTGGAACATTATTGTTAAATTTGCAGATGAAATTTCGCATTTAAATATTAAGACAAACAAGACAATCTTATTTAGCAATTTTAATTTTATTAAATAAACAATACTATCGTACAAATATTTTTATGCATTAATCCACAGTGTATTTAAAGTTTTCTTTTTTTAATCTTGAATCCTAAATATCAAATTAATTTACCATAGTTGCAATACCGCTTACGAGAAAATTAGGTCAAATTATAATAAATAAGCAGAAATTATGTTTTCGAATTATCTGCTTGACATCCTTTATTTAATATATATAAGGAACGTTTTTTTTACAATAATTTTAAACTAATTTTCTCTGATATCATTTTGCTACTTTCAATACGAAGGCGCAATAACTTGATACAACAAGTTATTAAGAAGTGTAGAAAACCTTTGCCAGATTACTTAAGTTTCTTCTTTGGACGTAATTGATTAGAGTGACCACACTAATAACATTCGTGGAAAAGCACATTATTACAATAAACTACAATATCTCGTAATACAAATCGGAGAACGTATGATTGGTAACGTTAAGGCACACCAACCTTTTTCTTACGACAATTAGTGGCACGGGGAGGTAGACGAGCGTAGCATTTACGGCAAATCATTTTCTCACAATTGTATTTCGATGCAAGAGCTTTAAGTGATGGTTCGATAATACCACCACGAAGACGTAGAACCAAATGAAGAGTAGATTCTTTCTGTATATTATAATCAGATAAAGTACGACCATCCTCGAGCTAATTTATGAATGGTAATTTTTATTATTATTATTCGGCAGTCTCAAATCATAATTTAAATTTGTTACCTGTTTACCGGCAAAAATCAGACGTTGCTGGTCTGGGGGAATTCCTATAATCAAAAGATACCTTTCGTACTGATCATCTTATGTATACAATTCTATACTAAATAAATAATTTTACCTTCTTTATCTTGAATTTTTTTCTTGACATCATCAATAGTACTAGAACTATATTAATAAGGTAAGCGAATGGATTCATTTAATGTAAATGCTAGTAACAATGATAAATCAAATTATCTAAATTTTACCTCTCGACGTCAAGAGTGATGGTTTTCCCTGTAAGGGTTTTAACAAAGATCTGCATGTTCGGC